AATTGTGAGACTGAGTAATAAATAATTAGTTTTGTATTCATTTTTTAAATAGTTTAAAGTATGTACATTTTTCTTGTATAATGTAGTCATTTTTATACAGTTCATAGATTACGTTTTTAAGTTGAATTTAATGATTTTTATAAATATTTGTAAATAAGAGTACATTTATTTTAACCTCTATTTGTGCATATTTCACAAAATATATGATTTTTTGCAAACAATGCTTTACTTAATTTATTTTTAGTTTTCCTAAATATGTCAAGTCAGGTTCGCACATATTTTAATGGACTTAGCATTATGTCAAGTCCAAATATAATCTTTTTAATTACTGCTAAAGTATGTTAAGTCCATTAAAAACAGAAATGTTAACCTAAGCCCATCTTAACATAACCTAATTAATGCTTTTTATCAAAATAAATAATTTACCGGAATTTTCAAAAAGATTATGTAAATTATAAAAATCCTCTTCTGTCGGCTATTTTATTGTTATACGGATGTAGCTTCTATTCATTCAATTTCTCCACATTCTTTTAAATGCTCATGCAAAATATAGCAGTATACTCCTTTTAATTGAGAAAATGGTAGGACCGTCCTGCACGTTTAGGGGAGCATCTAGTATATGATCGAAATGTATGCAATAAAAACTGGTAGTAATTAAGCGTTTTGCGGTAGAACCGAAGGCTCAAAGCAATGTACCCGGAAGCTTTGCGAAAGGGTAAGCCTCGTATCTACAGTGCTTTTTTCAGTGTCCCTCCATTTGTTCTTTCAATGTTATATAGAAGCTATAAAACCATATTTCACATGATCCCACACTTAAAAAAATATACATATTATGACTCCTAGCCTCCAGCTTGAAATTTTCAAATGTTACCTTTACGCTATAATACAGATGTTAGCAACTTGACTAATTCGTTTGGAAGGACCAAATGATGTTAACAATTCGGAATATCCAGCTTGTTAGATATTACTACTTGTTCGGTAATTTTGCACTTTTTGGTAAATCGATAAAGCAACATTACTGATCATAACAAAATCAGTCCCTAATTTCAGTCAGACTGGTATATCGATGTACATGAATGATGGGTCATTATGTCTGTAGGAAGTATAACTTATTATCATTATTGTTTTTGTTGTAAAGAATGGTTGATGAAAAGAAAAACCTATTCTCACATCAACTTACTAAGCGAGCTGAAAATATATCCGCGTGCCTGGCACAATTATCTTAGAATGGATGAAGAGACGTATTTAAACCTGTTGTCTCTTGTATCACCTTTGATTCAAAAGCAGGATATGGTCATCAACAGACACCAACTTGTGCAAGCTTGGAAATCTTGGGTACATCCGCACTGTTTTGCTCGCGCAAGCGCGCCTAATTCAAGCATACATAATTAAAATCAATTCAATCCTCAAGCTGCTTGTACAATTACAAAGCTTGCACCGCATTTCCCTACAGCATGCTTGTACAAGATGATTGAACAAGCATGCTGGACCAGCTTGCAGTTGTGTCTGTAGCCATCTGCGAGAGATTAAAGCCGCATATGGAAGGGTGCTCAAGCATTTCTCTGATTCGGTCCTTCACAAAATATTACTGGTCCCAAAAATATTGCATGGTAGTAACCTACTAATAGCATTGAGATATATACAGGGCGTATTTAAGTGTCTGATATTTCACGTGACGATTTCCCATATAACCAAGGTGAGTTTTTAGTGTGTGTAATCGGGCGATAGCTCTGGTACTGCAGGAAACTATACGCTCCTGTCTTGGAAAATACGCCGCTACTTACAGGTTTATTCATAGGTACGTGGAATCACAATCACTTACACTTTTTTGAATGGAATTTAACCTAGTATGTCAAATGTTTGATACCTATATAGCTGACATAGGCGTCAGAATGAGCTCTCTATGCATATATGTTTTTTTTTCTCAAAATATTATTGGAATGTTCCAGATAAGTATTAAATTTTGAATATTTCAGGTATTTTCAGATATTTGGTGTTAAAACTTGGGACGTCGGAAAAATAACAATTGCCAACCCCTCCCTGCAGTCCCTCCCGGTTACTGCGACTGAAAAATAAATACTTAAATAGATGCCCCTATTCACATTCAAATGTACATGTGGTCTCATTGCCCTATACCCTGTTCGATTTTTTATAGCTGACATTTATGAAATATTTACATTGAGAGAGATAATCTGTCTAATAATTATACGTACACCCCCCAATTTGCATATTTTATGCTATCGAAGCCATTCAGGAAGAATGACATTTAATCCAAGCCTTCCTGACTTTTAAGACAGTTATTGCTTGTGCATTATAACATGCATCCAAAATCGTTTTCTTTTTTACAAGGAATATTGTTTTAAGCTACATTATCAGGTAATTAAAAGTACAGGACTTAATCAGTATGTACACATTCAATCGCAGTTTGTTGTTTCCTTTTATAAAAAAGATTTTGAAAAAGCCTGTTTCTGATTTGGGGCCGAAATGACGAAAAGTGACTATCACGGTAGGAAAGGACATGGGAAATTCTTTATTGCTTTAATGCTTTAAGATGATGGCATGCCGAGCGACATCGGTTGAGATCATTATCGCTGCAAGAACAAAACAGAATACTGACTCTGTAATTTCCATGCAATGACTCTGGACTATGATTATACAGCAAGTATAGTATGTGTGTCAGCTTTTTCATGCTCTGATGCCATGATTATTCAACGATTTTGGAAATTCTTGGACAGTGTGGCGCATTTGGAACCAACGCATTTTGTAGCTGTAAAATTGTTATAGCTAGGAGAGGAAAAACACTTCTAAAGCTGAGAGTGATAACGGGGTCATTTATTTAAAAAAATTACAAGTCACGTTTGAAAAACAAATACTTTTATATATCAATTCTTGTTCAGCGGCGAGAACCAACCACGAGAATATTCCAAACTAAAATAATGTGTTGCTGAAAATATATGAAATTGGCGACTTCAGTAGTTCTGTGTTCGATTCATAAGATAATATTCTTAATACCTAAGCTACACTGCTTACCACGAATTTCAAAAAAATTCCAGGAACAAAGTAACTTAGTTTTGATTCCTCACGGTTGGTGCTCGCCACCCTAAGAATGCATTGCTAGACGCAAGAGTCACAGACGTAAGTATTATGTGGAATTCTTGTATAAGTGCCAGAATCACAGACCTATAGATCATAAAACGTCTTTCGTTGATTTATAATATGCAACATTTACAACTGCTTACCTCCTATAACCCAAACGCTCAATTTTCACTCCTCACAACAATCTTTTCGAAAATGATCAGGAACGTCAAAATACGATGTTTAAGCCTTTTTTTGTTTTTCGTTTTTCGCCCATGATTCTACTGCCACTGAATCCATTTTCAAAAGCTAAAACACTTTCTGTCTAGAATGGTAGTAATCTTGTTTGATAATTCCATCAAAATCTGACCGGTACGTTCCAAAAGGAGTGAAATGGTTTTTCCTGATGTACATAACTCCCAAAAAAACATATTTACCGCTATTACAGTACTTTCTCTCCAATAGCGTAGGAAGTAACAATATAATCTGCAAATGCCCCGTTTGTGGCGTAAATAAGTCAAGACTAATTCGTTTCTATTGATCTGAATGGCCAAAGAAAAACAGTGTTATGGAATGTTATGTGGTAATCGTTAAAAAACCGCATCTTGATTTTTATAAGGAGTCTTATTATTTTTGCTTACAAGTGTACATGCCTGGCAGGGCTATTATGTAAAAAACTAAAAAACGTCAAAAACAAAAACAGATAAAACGTCATCTTGCAGACTAGGTAGCTTTTAGTGTACAAATAGTTCATTCCACGTTTGTTCGCTATGATCACTGTTCGCTGACGTTTAAGTAACACGTACAGCTACAAAACGAGTTCACAACAAGTGTAAAACAGCTTGTGCTAAGTTAACATCTGGTAGAAAAACTTACGTTATGTCACAAAAAATCTACGAAATATCAAAAAAAAAAACGACGAAATGTCATTTTTCAAGATACGTAATGCCGTTATGAGAATATCTTTTTCTATCCGACATTGATAATCTAATATAGTACCTATCGTCATGCTTTATCCTTATCTGAAAAAAGTTTCTGGTTGGCTGCTTTATGGCGGACATTACCGATGGTGTAAATAAGTTCTTTTTCAATGTGCGAATTTAAATACGGATTTTTCACCGTACAAGCAAAGAAACATAATTGAATATTGGTTGCATCGATTCTAGTTTTAACAAAAAAATTTTGTTTGTCGAGGTGCAGACCCTATTGTCCGCAAAAAACGCCCAGGGTGTCATTTATCTGTATAGCGGGGCTCTATTTTGGGACACCTGCATATCAAATGGGATTAATTACATTGTCAAATATTTATGACCATCAGCCCCTACAGGGAAAATGTTCAGGAGCTTTTAAAACAACATTAGCGATTAACAAAAAAAGCAGACAGCAGAGGCAGACATGAAAGCTGAGTTGAGTTGTTTACCATATGACGTCATACATCATTACCCATTATCTAGTATCGTGTTCGAGCGATAAATCCTTATGCAATGGGACTAAATAAGGAAGATATGGTGGTTAGGCAGGTGAGTCACGATGAGTGGGCTGCACTCGTTCACATCAGTGGCGTATCGAGATTCCATCGTATACCCAGGGCCAGCTAATGTGATTTTGACGTCCTAGGCAAGTATATTGCTAGCTTCATCATAAAAAACTGCATACGTATTGCTTTGAAGTTGTTTACATCCGGTATGAGTTTTGTTTATCAAAGATAAAGCAGGTAAAAATGGGTAGTGACCTTTTTGGTGAGTCGACGGGGGAAGAGAGAAGCTTCGTATTCACTCGGCAACCAGCATCCAGGCGGTTCGCATGGTTCACCCGTCCGAGCTGTCTGATTAATAAGATTCCTGATAATTTTATTAATTCACGCAATTTAACGCTTCATAACAAATATTTTCAAAGGATGATCACAACAACGTTTAGATACTAACTTTTTTTCTAGCTTTTTATTTCGCAAGTGTTCCAACCAAACTATTGAGGTCGATTCTCTGTGCCAGGTCTTGTTCAGTGGAATCAATCTCTATTGGGTCATGGATGACCATAGGTACGTCGCCATGGCTACTGGTAGCGTTAGAAGAATCCGCAAAACCACGTAATACTCGTAGTCTCGTCTGAGAGCCCTAAGACAAAAATATTCGGATATTATTTAATTTTATCTTAAAGTTTGTTTATTTTTGTAAGGTGAAAATTTAATTGTAATTCCTTTATAAGAGAATGAAATATATTGTTTGCACATCATATTAACAAAACCGTTTTCAAGTAATATGATACTGAAATATAAAATCAAACTAATACTGATAACAACTCAATACTTTGCTGACACGATATTAAAAAAAATAATAGCAGCCATGGAAACAAAAAAGTTTTTACAATTTGACGTTTTCATTTAAAAATCAGTTCTGTGAATAAATCTCCTTTAAAATGTCGCGTGATAAAGCAACAAACGGTACAATGGGGTTTTAACCCTTAAGTATCATGGCTTGGTCAAATTTGATAGTCACGTTTTGTATGTCAAGTTTCGCTACCAAAATAATATGCGCGCGTTCTGAGAATCTTCGACCGGCAGGTGATTTATCCATCCACGAAAATTCCATTAATTTATCTGTTACCGCTGCAGAGTTAGGCACATGTAGGTTCAAATTTGGCCCGCTTAAGGTATAAGTGTTTCTAGTGCGATTAGCAAGTAATTTGATATGGCGGGGTGTAATGGCAATACATGTGCTCTGAAGCGGAGGCGCAAAAAGTTATCGACAATGGATTATGCATAAGTTGTGTTGAAAAGTAAGGTCAAATACATGCTTATCTGCTAATCTAAGTCAATTTTTTTATTTCAGGTAGCAACTATGACACCTAAGATTCATACAATACAAGAATACTAAAAATTTTTATAATTTTTCATATATTTTCAGAAAGTACACATATTTGTTAATTTGACTGGATACCAAAGTTTTTTTTAATATATAATAATAAAGTTATAAATAACCATATCCGTTTTTTTTTATAAAAATGTAAAATTATTTGAATACAAAATAACTCAACGTAAAATATCAGATTTTTATGTAAAAAAACCATGGGGATAAATTTGACCCTGCCATGGTATAAATGTTACTGTTTTTGGGCATGGTAGTTAAGGGTTAATCATAAAATTGTTTCAGCAAGGAAAGAGCTTACGGGATATTGCTAAAGAAATAAATGACGCAGTCTACGGTAGCAGATATTGTAAAAAGGTATGGAGACACAGGTTCAACTCAAGTTTGAAGTCATGTGTTGGTAGGGCACGTAAGGTCAGTCCTAGAATGCAAAGATCTCTTGTTCGTGTTTGTGAAGCTGATCGTCGAGGTACTGTAAGGGACATAGCAGCAAAATGGAATGAAGAAAAAGCAAGAATTGTTTCACGAGATATGTGCTGTCGGTAGATTCATAAGTCTGGTTTACATATTTATAAGATATGTAGGTTGCATTTAAGGGACATTATGGCATTCAGTAAAATCTTTGCTTTAGGCAAACGAAAAGTTGTTGCATACGGGAAAACAAAATTAAAGGCTAAGGCTAAGGAACGCGCAATATGGGCTGGAAAACGATTTTTAGCGATGAATCGACATTTGATGTTTGTGTGGGTGACCACCGACCCAGGTTATAAGAAACAAAAATGAAGCATTTCATGAAGACTTAAGAGAAAAGTCAAGTTTCTATCAGGCTTACTGGTATGGGGAAGGATAACTGCTTTTGGCGTTTGAAAACTTCACTTCATACTTGGAACCGTAAACACAGCTAAATAACAAAATATCCTTGAAAGCAATTTGCAGGTGTTAATTCCAACTTTATCACCCGATAGAAACTTTATTTTCCAACAAGACGGGATTCTTTTAAGGCGGCAGACTGCGAAACTGTGCAAGCCAGAATTAATGCTGTTATTAAGGCAAAGAGAGACGTAACGAGCTAATGTGATGCTTCGTCCGAACATTTATGTGTCAGCCAAATATTGCGTTGTTATCAATATTCGTTCAGTTTTATAGTTTAATATCACATTACTTGATAATAATTATTTTATTAATATGATGCCCAAATAATATATTTCAATGTCTTATAAAAGAAAAAAATATTGTCTAACCTTAAAAATATAAACATACTTTAAGATAAAATTAGATAATGTCAGAACTATTTTGTGTTAGGGCAAAACGGACAAACGGCCAAACCAAATTTCGAATTAATCTTTTTTAATTTGTAATTGAATCTCTCTGAAACTAAACTCATGGCAGTGCCTACAAAATAAAAAGTCTCCTTGAATTTTTGTTCTAGCTTTTTATAGTGGGGCGTTTCCTCCCATAAGAAATTCTCCCTTCCTTTTCCTGAAATGTTTTGCTGTGGAAATTCATTTGGTTTTGCAGTACAGAGTTCATTAAAAAAGTCTTTGGAAGCCCAAATTCTGTTTAGCAAGTCCGTTTATTTTCTTAAAAAATGTATTTGTCCTACTTGTACTGTCGCAGATTTGTAAAATTTTACTCGCTCATTTTGTAACAATAATGCGAAGGTACTTACTAACTCTAGAGAATATATTTACTTTTTGAAAGGTCGCTTCTGACACACTGGACCAGGAGCTACTTCGACGTGATTTTGACGATGTACCGTTTGTGAGTACTTTAATAAAATTATGCTTTTCTTGGTGACCCAGGAGAAAGCAAGATATGTTGGTGATAACTGGTTCTCGAATCGGTAAAAAGGTGTACTTACTTGATTTTAAACTTTCGAAAAAATATGTAGCTATTTGGTAGAGGTGAACAAATTGTTTTGAAAAGATAAAATGCTCATGGTCTTATCTTGCTTACATTTGGCTACTTGAGTCCTGACCAGATAAAGGGTACTAGATTTCAAGGCGCGTTCTTTCTAGATAAAGACTATACTTTTTTGAAAAACTAAGTGGGGATACATTTGAGAGTGATGACAAGATCCAGATCAGCGATTGAACGTATTTACGCCACGATTGACCACGTTGCTGTCACATATCCGATGGTCAGGTGAGATAAGTGTTGTAATTATTTTCAAACATTCAAGAAATTCCTTGTAGCTACGCCACTCGTTAGTCGAAACTTTGCTACCCTGCCATCCATGACGAAGAAGGTGATTCAACCGAATTTCAATGTCGACTTTCACAAGGGAATATCCATTGTTCTTTCTACTCTTACAAGTGTAATTTTATTATTATAGTTTTGTTCCCATATTATACTGATGAGAGATTGATTATTATCATGAATCATAGTTTTTATACATAGCTATTATTATTAACAAATGAGAAATTAGTATCCTAGGTTCTTCGCAGTAGTCGTCGTTCCTAAGAAGTTCAACAACTACCCAAAAAAGGAAAACGAAAGAAAATCGATAATGTTATTATGTGTAACCTATAAATTTGAAGAAAAGGTTTAAGGTTTAAATGCCGATTATCCAAGGAACTATAGTTACAAACAAGATAATATTAATTTAAGATGTTTAAAATGATCAGATTTCTTACATAGAGCTTAAAAAAAGGACAAACAAGTTCAATGAGTTTAGTATGATCGGGCAAAACCATATTTTACCAATTTACTGGTGATAGCATTTTGTCGGTCTCAAGTGAAAATGCAGTGTTTCGAAAGTAAGTAAAGTATTTGAAGGGATGATTCCTAGGCGTCTACAATTTTGAAATACGAGGTCATAACAGTTTTCAAAAGACTACCGTCCTTCATAATGGCTATAATACCACCTTAGATATTTATATGTGTTTAGACACTATGCATTTTTGATGTAACTCTTTTAATTTCTTCCAGTGGCATTCGTGCGGGATTTGAGCTTGGTGTTTTCAAAAAAGAATATAGTACACCACTGCTTTATCTTATAAGAAAAACGACTTTTATAATCATTATTTGTTTCTTAGGAAATTTGATCTCTTGATCTTGTTTCTCCGATTTTTCCGTTTTCGCATTAAAAATAAAAAAAATATTTCAGGGTAAATAACATAATTCCACTTGAGCTGTTGGCAAGCACTGATTTCTTCGTATACTCAGGTTTCCTGGTAGATGACTTGGAAAAGGGTAGATATGTCATTCAAACATGTGGCATTTGCGCGTTATCTAAACATAGGTATACTCAATACTATAGATATTATGCTGGATCAAAAAGATGGAAGAATACTGTAAAATCACTGCTAGAATCACTTCGAAGACAGCATGATAGAGAAAACTGCAAACTTGACGCTGCGAGATATGCCACGATCTTCAACTGGTTCCACTTGGGCACCACTACTTGAAAGTGAGGTATTAAAGATCAATTTCTCCATGATCAGTTTCATTCCTGTTTTGATTTTATATCTATTTACTCATATTGTTTGTTCTCTTTGTACATTGAATGAATAATAATAATTATTATTATTATTATTATTATTATTCCGGTGCAACAAAGTGGAGCGGTCGGAATAAAGAGGCTGGTGGCGGACAATATTTTCTTAATATTTCCAGACATCATGGAAATGTCGCGGATAATGAAGGCAACGAAGCAACAAATAAAAGCCAAACTGTAACAGCAAAACTGCTAGAAGCGATAGAATACGAGTACATCAAAATTCAGAAATAACGAATTTGCGCCATCGGAATATATCTACAACACCCATTCTCTGCTTCAGTGCCGCTTGGGCAAGTGCCAAAGCACTCCCAGACTTTGCATCAGTATCAGCAGGGTACAATATAATCATATGGGGAATGATTAGTAGACTATTTATTCTACAGAAAAAAGTAATACGATCAATTTTGAATATTAATGAGAGGGACGGTTGCAAGGAAACCTCCAGGCGCTAGAATCTCCTCACATGAATAGGTTTATCTGTAATAATGAAATAAATAGCAAACATATATAACTCTAATTTTTTGCATTGCAAAAGCACTAGGACGCATCTAGTTGTCGAATATTTCTACTCTTTAGTCGAGTTTTTCAACATGTAAATATACCTGCCATATATTTTAACACAAAAGTCTATATCCTTGCTCATCTTAAATTGTCTGTCCTCCTTCTTCGATGTTTAGTGTACTTTTCTAATCACTGATTTTATCTGATGTTCACATGTACCTATGTGTTCTTAGCTATGCCCTCTCGA